TTTTTTTTTATCTATAATATAATTAATTAATATTCAATATCATTTTTTATTTTTGATGTGTAGAGAGAAGGAAAAAAAAAAGTAGCTAGTATTTGGGGGGTATTCTGCATGCCGTTATTAACTGCTGCTGGGAACTATTTATAGCTTGTAGCTCCACACACACACACACACACACACCATGCACACACATTTGGGTGTATGTATCTATATATGTGTCTGTATAGTATATGTTGATGGTGACACCTAATTTAATTTCTTTGAGACATTGTCTATTAATTACTAGTAATATTTTTCGGACCACGAGACGAGTAGAGTAGTACTCAATGATAAAATAATCCAAATATTTATCCTAATTCTTTTCAGTTTCATCTCATATTTATTAATTTGTTGTCATTCGACCTTTGAATTAAATTCTCTCATCAACTTAAATAATAATAATAATAATAATAATAATAATAATAATAATAATAATAATAATAATAATAATAAACAATAATAATAAAATGCAGGGTGCATGATTGATTGTCAAACTCAGTAGTTGATGTATATATGAGACTAGCTAGAGACCTTTTCAAAATGTCAATATTAAATATTGGTTTAATAAGTCATATATAATTGGTTCATTTTTCTTTAAAAAAAAAAATATACATAAAACATTTTAATTATTAAGATACATATTTGTTTATATATATATACTTAAAAATATATGTATGTTAGATCATTTAACTCGTGATATATATTCGGGTGGGTGGGTGGGCCCACGAGCCATGTCATCACTAGGCTAGGCTGTGGGCGTGAAGAAGAGGGCCTGGCCAAGAGAAATATTTGGTTGGTAATAGATTTGGGAAAAGTGGGAATATTTGGCTGTTAATAGATTTGAGAAAGTCGTCGTCGTCATATATATTATATTTATATATGTGTGTGTGGAGAAGACAGACAAAAATATTGGGGGACCGAATAGTTATAGAATATATAGAGGCAGCCAAGCCAGCCAGGCAGCCAGCCAGCCAGCCAGGAGGACATTCATTCGTATATATATTTATATATATTCTGAATGGCCGGCAGGGAGAATACATAGTGAAAGACTAGAAAATATTAACCAACAAGCAAAAGAGAAATAATTGCTTTAGCCCCACACGGTCACACCACCCTAAAGCCAGAGCAGAGCAGAGGACAATCTATCTTTCAAAAAATATATATATATATCCCATCACACTCTTAAACCTTTGTATTGCCATGTCTTGTTTCTTTTTCAACCTCGTTTTGTGGCCTCATGTCTCATCCACCTCCTACTTATTTACGTTTTTCTTCTTTTACTTTCCCTCAATACTTTACCTTATATTAATTTTTTTTTTTTTTTCAGACAATATATTAGCTTATAGCGGATTGTCAAAATAATAATATTGGTTCGATTTCGGCCGAAAAACTTAAGTGTTTTCTAGAATATTTTATTTGTTGCGACAGAGAATAAGCAGCAAGAACTATAAAATGATTATGAGCGAGTTATCCATACACATAGAAATCATAGACGTTTTGGAGAAGATCTAACCAAAATTTAACAAGATTCACAACAAGATCTCTTGAATATGTAGACTTGAAATTAAAGATCAACTATTTCAGAAAAAAGACGTGTTCCTGCACGATTTTGAAAACGAAATTCCGAGAATCTCCAAAACACATACATGGATTCTACTTGAAGAAAACTTACTCTATAGGAATAATGACGCCGAAGACCACGTCAACTCCAAGGTGTCCCTACCTAGTTAGGATTTGTCTTTTGTCCATATATATTAGAGCATCTCTAATCCTTAAATGTAGTTGTAATAAATTACACTATATATTAACTTATTTAGCAATTTATCCACTTTTAATCTTTCAATGCACAATGTTATTACAAATATACTGATGAGGTAGACATAATTAATGTCTGCAATGTAGAGAATACTGTGGTTCATCTATATTGTCATTCACATTCTAGTCAACCAATGGGGAGGGGAGAGATAAATAATATTACCGTTTTCAAAATATCTAATTATTTAATTCTTTTTCTTTTATATTTATAATTTTTTTTTATCCAAGTGGACAATTTCGTGTTTGATTATATTGTCCATTGGAGACAATTTTTTAGAACTAAAGTCATGAACCTAATAATTATCTTATGTGGTTCATAATCTTTCTAATTAACTGATATTTGTCAAAAATTATATAATAACAACATTTATCTATTGGAGATGCTCTTAGATAACCAAATTTAAAGAGGATAGCTGAGTTTTGTTGTTCTCCCCTGAGCATATTGAGTTAGTTTGTCTGAGAGAGTTTGTGACTATATTTTATAGCTAGTGAATTCAAGATTTCAGTTTTTGTATTCCAACATATCTAGAAGAGTGAAACATGTGACTTTGTACTTTTGGGTATGGAGGGATTCCTGTAACAGTTGTTAATTAGTCTACGTTGTGACTAGTTAGATAAGTAGTTAATAAGATCGAGTATAATTGTGTTACCTTTACGAGAGAGTCTTTTACTTATAATTCCAAATTATATACTATGGGAGACAATCAATCTACTAATGAAAGAGCTCCGATGAGTACGTAGTGAGACGCTCTCGAAAGATAAATGTTTAATTGTCTTTCCGATTATATTTTATGTTATTACACATGTTGCTCACTCTACTCCCTGAATGCATTTTTTCATGGATTACTAATTTGTGACAGCGAATATAATAGATAGCGCATTGTATTAGCTGGTTTGACTAGCTAACTCAATTAATGATTTATCAAACAAGCGTTTGATAATTAACATAAATTTATTATTACTACGTTGTATTGCTTTTTTTTTTTTTGTTTAATTCATGCTTCCCAATACATAAAAAAATGTTATAGGTATATAATAGTATACATAGAGATGTACATAACACTCACATAAGTGGGTCCTATCAAAAATAAAAAGTTAAATGGAACCTACTCCATGTGAGTGTTATGTACACCTATATGTATATTTATTATGTACTTGTAGCAATTTTTTCGGATAAATAACACGGGTCAATGATGGTGTCATCAATGATGGTGTCATTACTAATATACATGGGGTTCTGCTGAACTGAATATAAGATAAAAATACAATCATTACATGAGAAAGGAATTTTGTTTTTTTTTTTTTGGTACAAGATACTTTCCGGTTTCCGGATCCACAGGGAAACCGACTAATCTGGAATCGAGTCGGATAGGACTACAAGGGCGGCAAAACTCTCCCTCAAGAGTTTTAACACTACTGCATTCTTAGGGTTCGAACTCGAGACCACTGATTAAGTTGGAAGAGACCCAATTCATCTCATCCAAGCGCGAGTAGAAAGGAATTTTGTTAATTGAAGAGATGCATCATATATGAAGTCATGATGAAGAATCGTTATGTCATGAATTACTTATATAACTTTACAACAAAGAATATTAATATGTGAAACGTATAATTCCTACGGAGTGCGCTTATCGATGGTATGAACTAAAAATGCGGAAGCAATAAACCGAAGATTTTAAAACTCTTCAGGGAAGCGTCCCACTTCCCCTCAGAGCTCTTTCATTGATAGATCAAACATACACATAACTTGGACTTACAACGACTCGAACTCCCTTCAAGCCTAGCCAACACTACACAGATCCTATCAACTAATTCTCCGGCCACGTCCCGTGGACTTTTAAAAACCTACACTTACTCCCTAAGTGTATAAGCTGTAAAATAGTTTTTGGATGAAACACAAAGAACAAAATAAAACAGCTTCAGTCCTTGAGTTAGTTCGAACTCTCAGACTGAACTGTGTACAACTCAATAAAATCAGAAAACACGAAGCTCAATTATTGCTCTATAAATCTTCAAAACTCAGCAGCCGCAATAGGAGCTTGCATACGGGAATTTAAAAGAATCTCCTTAGGGTTGGAGTCTTCTACAAGGCATAGGACTCCAACCTTGATTTCTTTCCTTGATTATAGCATGAGGATTTGGTAAGTGAATCTTCTTCTCTCTCTCCTTGATCTCTTTATCATACACGCCTCTGTCTTCATTATCTCATTTGATTTCCTACAAATCAAAGTACCATAATAAGATCCATAATATCTTATTTATGGAATATATAATAATCGTAATTAAGGAAACAAATAAGCAAAGATCTTCCCTGTTTCTGTAGTTCCAGGTGCTTGTTAGAACCTTCGAACTAATGCCAAAATAAATATCTTTCAATCTCCCCCTTTGGCATCTAGTTCGAAAACATCAACCATTAAAATATCTCCTGAAAAGAATTAAAAACAACAAGCACAGAAGAACCAGCCACTAAACAATCATCAAGAGTTAGGGCAAATAAGCATGTGACTGTTCTCCCCCTCAGTTCATACACAGTTCCCCCTCAGTACCTGCAATTCAACAAACCTCAAAAAAATCGAGCAAGAAACAATTAAAAACAAATCATCATTCATTCATCAAAAGCACAAACATCCATCCAGCAAAAATAGAAGCAAGTAGCAAATATCACACAAGCAAATAAAATACGAGGTTCTTATACAAAAAGACCTCCATACATCCCTCAAAACACTCAAAAGAAAAACATCTACTCCCCAGCAGTGAACGTGTC